CTCTCTTTCATGGGGAAAACCCACGAAGCATTCATTTCAGGAGCAGAAAGGAGGGAGCTTACAGGATCAAATCCTTTTTATCTCGACCAACAGCACCTGCGGCAACGTATTAACTAGCGGGAGTTGTTAATTACAGCCCTAACTTGTTGATCTTCACGGCTTCCGAATTTTAAAAGCAAGAAAATTAATCACTGCGTGTGTCTCCTCCAGTAGAAAATGACAGGAGTGTGTCTTCTAGTTCTGTTCCCGTCACTAATAATCAGATACTTGCTTTTTCCTGTAACATGTCTTTCCTCCCTTTGTGGATGGAACCATTTCTTAAGTTCAAAGAGCCCGTCCATTCACAGCAGGGTAGATATTTGCCGGTAAAACAAAGGCTTTAGAAACATAAATCCTCTAAATACGAGCCTGAGTGAGATTATACTGAAGATATTTCAGGACTTGACATCACTTACAAAAAAAAAGGATGAAGGCTAATTAAAAGTGTAGTAGCAATACGCTGCACTTATATCTTCTCATTTAATTTCCGTAACAAACCTATGAGGTAGAAACTGTACTGTACAGTGGAGGAAATAGGTTCGGAAAGGATTAATAATTTGCCCAAGATCACAGAGCACCTCAAGCATCAGGGAAAAAAAAAAGGTTTGAGATAAGGAGGCAAGAAAAGTAACTCATCATATTCATCTTACATGGTGAAGTGGGAATCAGGAGGAGGCAGAAAGAAAGCTGAGGCTTGCCTTTTAAAAATCCGTACCTGACTTCTAGAGTAATTTTTTTATTGCAGTTAGAACATACCGTGTCTGCCACTTTATTTTTTTGTTAACATCCATCATCAAGGTGGCTAACCAGCCTACTCCATCCTGTGCTGGCCGTTCGTTCTTAGGAAGAGTTGCTCTGTAAACAACCCTCACTGCAGAGAGGAAGGCTTCTGTGCTCTTCAGCAAGTCCTGCTCTCAAACACTCTCCCCCTAGGCCTAGGCCGGTGGCTTCTCATTCTGGAAGCACATTAGATCTCCCAGGTAGTTTCCTAAAAATCCCAACGCAGACCAACCCAATGAGACTTGCTGAGCCCAACCCCAGGCCCGGACGAGCACATGCAGCCGATGTGGAGAACCACACTGAGAGGTTATCAGTGATGTACCGTTAACTTCCCTTTTGTTCCCTTACTTTTCAGTTATTTGACTTCATTCCTCCAGATGACCTTGATTCATCTTTTTTGGAGGGCAGTTTTCTTTTCCTGGTTTTTTCAGCCTTTCCCTAAACCTCCTGGATGATTCAGATCAGGTTACATTGCCAGTGAAAGATGCACAGCTGTGTCTTCTGCAGGAACAGAGTTTATCCTGAATGCCCTGTCTGTTCCAACAGTGGAACTGGATCCTCCGTAGTATGTCTCTCGCTGGCTACGTGTCGCAGTCAGTGGTCGTCAGACCCGCGCAGACTCTCCCCTCCTCTCTCTCAGGCACGTACACACACAAGGCAGGGACCACCTCAGCAAATTTTGGTTTGGGTTTCCACTGTTAGACTTATGGAATGTTTACATCTCTCCCTGTGAAAAGCTGTGGGGAGAAGTGAAGCTCGTGTCCGGATCACTTTAACGGAGCTCCCCATGCCATCCCTACCACACATCATCGAGAATTGCTGTCACCAAGTAGATCAGAGTCGGTTCTTATGCCGTCACTGTCAGTAACTGGCTTAGCGTCTCTCCTTTTCTCCCCTGAAGGCGATGCGACTTAGGAGACCCTTATTCACGTCTGCTGGTAGATGACTCGGTAAGCACATACACAGTACAGCCTGCCTCCCAACCCCGCCAAGCTCGTCTGGTGTCTGCGGGAGCCTGGGTGTTGTACCACCCAGTTCCCAGAGGACGCAGTCCCACGTAGACTGGCCCCATGTCCGTCTGAGGAACACCTGCGTTTACCACACTGAATGAGATGGAGGGACCTTCTTTGCACAGACTGAATACAAAATCAGCCCTTACTTTATCCCTGTCTCCTTCAAGTGACATTGATTCCTCTGTCATAGTTGATCGAGAGACCCTTTCTGTGGGGGTGCTACCTCCCCAAATCTCGTTTTCAGAAATGATCCTGGGTCCTCCCCATTGCATCTTTGAGGCTGAGTAGCAGTCCCGGGACACCATTGGAGGTGGGACGTCATGCAGACCAGGGTGAAGAAGGCCTGTGATCTTATCCAGACACATAGATTATTTTTGTTTCATCTAGTATATTCTCCTGGATAATTGGGACAGTACTCCAGGAAGGACAGTTTTGCGTGACGAAGACAGCATAGGTACCTTGAGGGGTGAATTCTGATTCTGCTACCTACTTGCTGAAGGACCGCGCTGGGTTAGATAGTTCGCCTCTAGGATCCTCAATATTGTCATTTGAGAAATAAGAATAATAATGTCTTCATAGAGCTGATGAAATTATCAAGAGAGATCAATTTTCAAATTTTTTGGTCTTAGGACCCCTTTCTACCCTTAACAGTTGAGAACTCCAAAGAGCTTTTGTTCACATGGTTTATGGTATTTATCAAAATTAATCATATTTAAAATTAAAAAAAGAATGTTATAAAGTATTTTAAAATGAAAACAACCATTCCTTAACATGTAACTTTTTTTTTTAAATGAGGACTGTTTTCCAAAACAAAAGAGTTAGGGAGAATAGTGGTGTTTTACAGTTTTGCAAATTTCTTAGATGTCTGGATTTCCAGAAGACAAAAGGATTCTCAAATATGCTTCTGAGTTCAGTCTGGGATATTAATGTAGTTTTGGCTGAAGTGTGTGGAAAAAATCTGGCTTCAGATATATAATGGGAAAGGGAGGAGGATTTTAATAGCCTTTTCAGTTAATTGTGGATATTCTTCAACACTAGAACTCAATAAATTATTTCTGCCTTAAAAGTTAGTTGTAATATGCGATCTGAAGCCATATCTGTGAACTTTATGTATCTGTTACGTTAAAATCCCTTAGTCTGCCTTGAACTTTGAATGACTCTATTAGCCATTCATAATTTTTAAAACATCATACACTGGTCATTTGGAAAACACTGGTTCACTAAATCATATAGACCTCCTAAAACTTTATGTATTTCATCAAACCACCTCAAAAAAACCACAGTTGTTACTGCCACCGCCCCTGTCATCAGATGGGAGACTGTCAAGCTCAGGACAGCAGATATATGCATTCCAAAATTCCAATTTTTGCTCAAAAGCCCAAATTTTATCATTAGCAACAAATACTGCCAAAGATCTTCCTTAACGTGATGGGCTCGCTTCATTCATTTTCATAACATATCTGCTGAATTTTCAAGTCTGAATAACCAGCTTGTCTAAAGTTGTTCTTTCAAGTAAAAGTGCTATTCCAGGAAAACAGTGGCTCGTTCGGCTTACAGCCACAGGGGTGGCTAAGTGCTTTTCCCTGAGACGGCCATCGTCCTTCAGTAGGAGCAGAGATGGTTCTGCGTTCTTCCCACGTCATCCTAGGATGTCAAAAAGATACATACCGAAGAGCTGAGAGTTCATGAAATGAATGTTTGTTACTGCTTTGTTTGGAACATTCTTGAGCGGAGCTGCCTTCCCCCCTACCCCTTGCTGTGAGTGCATGGAAGTGAGGAATGTAGTGATCCCTTGGACAGTTTGGTGCAACGGCTTCGATTTGTACCCAGGCACCGCCTGTTTTACCCTCCAGGCATCTTACGCACCTGCTGGAGCGCAGGTGTCGGACAGTAAAGACTGTAGCAGTGTTCTGAAAATAGTTTTGACCTTGCTGGCTCCCTGGAAGGGTCTCCGGGACCCCAGCAGTCCGCAGATCACGTCTTGAGAGCCACTGGGATGGGTCGTAGGGATTCCATAACTGTCACCAGTCCTGACAAGTTAGATTTTTCTTCCTGGTCTTCATTGTTTGTGGCTCTGGATTCGGTGACTGGCTGGGCTGAATGAAGTCTGGCCTTTGGGAGATTTATTATTTTGATGAAATCCCACTAGAATTCTTCCCAAGCTCACAAGAAGCCAGCTGCTTTTTTTTCTCCCTGAGATGTTGCCTAGAAGCTGAAAACAGACCTTGGTTTCATATTAGCTTTACTGCTGGCAGCTGACCAGAAAGATCTCTGTACATAATCTTTGCTTTTTTGTATAGTGTAGAGCTAATAAAGGCGTTTTTGTGATAACTTCCTAATCTTTTATGTCAGGGGATCCTAACTCTGGTTCTGAAACCGACTTTAGGTGGCTAGTGAGCCCTTGAGATTTCACAAAATTTTTCATGGTTTTTCAGGGGTCAGGGAGAAGGTAGGTTATTGGGGAGAATTAATAGCTTCAGTCAGATTTTCAGAGAGGTTTTGTGACTTCGAACCCCTGCAAAACCAAACATTAGCAAATGACTGCTTCAGATGGACTTTTTTTTGTAATGGGGTAACACCTCCCCATCCATTGTCCAATTGCATTTCCAAAGGCACCTCTTTTTGGAAGGAATTTTCAAGGCTCCCTCCTTGGCTTTGCCCATCTGTTCTTTCCACCGCCTTGGCATTTCTTCAGGTCCCCGTCACTTAGCACTTGCTCTCTGGTCACTTCACAGTGGTTTTTGAGCGCATCGTGTCTGTCTTTTCCCCCTTGGTATAAAATGCAAGAGATCCAGGACTATACATCTTGCCCAGATGCATCCTCAGAGGGTATTTCAGGCCAGAGAATACACTCAGCCAAATCAGTGGGTTCCTTTCTGAACTACTGAGATGTGCAAACTTGGAATATTTATTTATACCTCAACCGCGAGATGCGTTTTTCTCCCACACATTCTTCAGTCTGCTTCTTGGAATCCAAGTGCTGTCATGAAAACTGCAAGGCAGTCTGTTTAGTTCCAACGGTAGCATTTTTGGAACACTTTCCCGATTCCGTGGGAGTAGTGTGGTGACTAGCACTGTCTGACAAGGCGCAGAGGAGGACTCTGCAGCGTGATTATATGTGTCAGAAAATAGCAGCTCCCCAGGCACACTGCAGAAGGGGTGGGGATGATGGAGCCCTGCGGCAGTGCGGGGGGCACCCGGGCAGCCGTGAGCATGCCCTCGGTGGTATCAGCATTTCTAGAAGTCAGAAAGCTGGCTTCCGCGCGGTGGGTGGGAACTGGACAGCAGGCTTTCCGGAGAGTGCGCTGTGCTGGTTTCCCATCTCAAAAAAATGTTGAGTTCTGTCGTATGTGGTTTCATTCAGTGGCTTCACAGGTTTTGAAAAAACTGGCTTGTCTACCGCAGTGAACACCCCAGCACCAAACAGTCGGGAAAGGGCCCTCTCCCTGGCCTCTCTGGGAAGCACGAAGATGAGTAACATGGCAGTGAACAGGAAGGGTCGACCTAATCAGGAAGAGGCAGAAGAATTGCTCAGTTGTACACAGACAAGGTGGACGTGTGTACTCACCAGACCCAGGAATATTTTATTCAAGAGGATGTCCCCCTTGCTGGGCGGCAGCATTTTTACACTTTGCTTTCCGATAGCATTTGCATTTCTGACATGCCCCATCCTCTCTTTTGCGTTACTCGCACCTCTAAACACTAAAAGTTGTCACTCACATTGTGTTTTCACCCGTGTCGTGGACCCCAGTCCTCCGTCTTTTCAGTCTCAAAGTTCCAAGAAGGCATTATTTCTGTCCGTTTTTAGCAGGTGAGAAAATCAGGGCGTAAGAGCCTTTGACTTGCCCCAGACTACTGACTGGCAGTGCAGGCGAAGTTAACAGGCTTCTCGGGCCAGGCTCGTGAGTCAAAGAGCAGGTCATTTGTCTCTTTGGAAAGTGCCCTTCACGCTCTTGGGGTCGGTAAATGTCAGCGTGTATACTCTGACTAACTCACTGCTACTCAAGGACTGGGTCTGATCCGTCTCTCCTTTGGGAAAGTGCCACGGATCAGTAGGGGAGCAAGGTAAGGTGACTCTTGGCTCTGCTTTCCGACCAGATGGCTGTTCTTGCATGATCAACTGTGCGGCGTCACGTCTCTGTCTCTCGCCACTACAGTACCCTTTCTGTTTTTTAAGGAAAGAAGGATTGTCCAAATGTGGAAGATGCAAGCAGGCATTTTACTGCAATGTGGAGTGTCAGGTAGGTGCGGGGCCAAATGGCAGGGAGGGCTTTGTTTCCTCTGGAGATGGGGACCCCAACGTCCTTTTCTTTCTTGTCACAGCCTCTCCAGCACCCTCTTGCACCCAGGGCTGGAAAGCTTCCTTGTGGCGTCGGGTTTAGCTGGATACCCCAATGTGCTGGCCCACGACTAACGGGCAGCCAGTGATGGGCAGTGATGTTTTGGGGTCACTTTCCCAGGAGAATTGGAAAAGATGCAAGGAGAGCAGTGTTGGATACAGGCAGATGTGTTACCAAGGTTGACAGTCTGCCCCCAAGGCCTCCAACAACAGGTGGAATGTGCAAAGATGACAAATGAAAAATGTTAAAATGCTGTCTTTAAAATTTTTAAAGTTTTACTGCCACTGGTATGTATTTTTATATACCCCACTAGCAGGCCACGTATCACCCACCCTGATTCCAGCTCAACTTGGGTGAGCCCCTGCACAGCCTTGTACAGCCGAGAGGGGGTTGCTCTGAGCTGGGACCTGGAGACCCGGGCATCAGGCCTCGGCAGCAGCCAGGGCTGAGCAGGTTCAGGAGGCTGGTTGCATGTGGACCACGGGCCATCAGGTTTGATGGCTGAGTCTCAGGGGAGTCTTGTAACATGGGGATGGGGAGCTCGAGGAGGAGTTTGGAGGAGCCCTTGGTAGACTCTTTAAGGGACAAGGAGTGGTGTTTCCCCGACTTATCTCTTGATGCAGTATCATCACACAGAGGTTCATAGGTAACTTACATAAATGCATTCTACTTGCCAGCAGTTTGAATTTGGGGAGAGAATGATCTTCGGCCTCTGTGTGCCTTCCCCAATCTGTTTTTCTAATGGAAACCCGCTCAGACTCCTTGCGATGTGCTGATGCCTTTAAGCATCTTCAAATAAGAGGGGGGATTTTCTCCATATCTGCCCCTCATCTTTGCTGCTGTTCTTTCTAGACTTGCTGTCATTCCCCTCGCTCGGCTCCCTGGTCTACCTCTGATTACCCACGATGTCATTTTTCTTTCTTTCTCTTCTCCTCCTGTAGCTGGTCTCTGAAAGTCCCCAAGAACGTTTTTTAGCAGTGGGAGAGCGAGCGGTCGCTGAGGCCCGAGGTCTCATCTGACCCGTCACAGCGGCCCCCTGGGCCCAGGGATAGGAGGCCCCAGGGATGGAGCCGTTGGCTTGGGAACGTTGCCTTGGCTCTGAAGGCTGTGTGCACAGTC